TTTTTTTCAGCCCAGCTCTAGTTTTTGGCTGAATTTCTACAACGCTCTCTTTCAAGTCAAAGGATGATTTCCATTCCCCTCCCCATGTTTTTTTTTTTCTTTTGCCTAGGCGCTGCACTGCTATTTCAGTGGCATTAATCATAAGCAGTTTTTCGCCAAGAAAAATAAAAATGGCAGCACGAATTTTACACAACATAGTAAAACTAAATATAATCCATCTAAGCTAGATGGAGAAATCTAGCAATTCATTTAATACCCTTGTCAGTTTGCTATCTTGGGGTATGTACCAGTGTTCAAACCATCTGGCTGGTGTTTAGCTACTTGGTTTCAGGCACTTGAAACCCAACTGGATGAAAGCTGTACAAAGGTGCTAGGAGCTGTCTGTGTGCTCTGCAGACAGTCTGCACCATGGAAAGCACCCGGCCAGGGGACCCCGGAGCACTCATCCAGCACGCTTTGCAGGTTCTCCTGTCTGCCTGAAACCAGGACAGCCCAGGGCACTAGTCAGGGCTGATGGTCTCAAGGGATCACACCCTCCCCTCCGAACACTGCCCTCCTTCCAGCTGTCAGACAGCAGACCCAGAGTAGGCTGCAGGCTGCCATGGGGGCTGGGGGGAATCTACATCTGCAACGCTTCACGTTGGTGCCCTCAGCCCGATGTGTGGGACTGCAGGTGAAGGCAGGGCTCTGAAGTGCTGTGGAGGGGGTGGGCATGGCACGCCCCTCTCCCGGCAGGACATCAAACCCCAGACTTGCAGCCCCACAGCGAGGGGGGACCTGTTGGAGGTGTTGGGGGACTATGACTCAGGCTGCAGCAGGAGACTGCACCCTGTGTCACAGCCTCTCTCTTCTGGGGAGGGGAGGGCCGGAGTGAATTGCAAAGTTTTTTGGTGAATCAAAAAATTGAAAACAATTTCCTTTGACCCCACAACTATTTTGTTTTCAAGGGGTTTTCTTTCACTTTTTAATAAACAGCATAGGCGACTGGTAGGTGGTGCATGGGGGTGCACATGCCTCCCCTGAAGGGGCCAGTGCCCCCCCGATGACCCCCCCGGTGCTGTCGGTAGTGCTGGTGCCCCCCTAACAGGGCTGCCACCGTCGGTGGCTTCTGCGGGTGCCCCCCCCAGATTCAGGAGGCACCAGTCACTCATGATGAACAGAAATCAACACTAATTTTTGGAATGCTTTTGCTGAACAGAAATTGCACTTATATTTAACTTAAAAAGTGTAGTTTCTGGTCAGCCAAAACATTCCCCAAATTAGTTTGCTAAAGTGAGTCGTTTTAGTGGGCCAAATATTCCAAAAATGTATGTTGATTTCAGCAGGTTTTGATTTTATATATTTATAAAATAGTATTTATTATAATATATAATGTATACACACATGCGTGCGTGTGTGTGTGTGTGTGTGTGTGTGTGTGTGTGTGTGTATGGTGTGTATGTGATATAATCCCTAAAATATTGCTCCATTCTATCCTCTTATTTGATAAAACTGAAATTGTTTTGAATCCCTTGGAGATGTGGTCAATATAAGAAATGCTGCTAATTCCATGTTGGGTTATTAAAAATCATAGAGATTTAAGCATCTAATAGGCTGGCTGTGTTTTGCAACTCATTCAGATTAGACCATGAACCAAGGCTGAACAGTTTGCCTTTGGGTTTCCAGTTCCACCCGCCTGGACCCACCCCTAACTCAGTATGCAGTACAGTAAATGCCCCCAACATGCCTGTTGGAAATAATCTTCTGTTATGGTCCTTTATGAGAGAATTTGCTGCACAAAGGTATATTTTTTATAAAAGTCCAGTTCCACTCCAGTAACACGACTAACCAGAACAAACACCACTTCACATGTAGTGAGGCTTTCTCTAGTTGCAGCAAAATAAAATCATTTCCTTGGGATCACCAGTTTGCTTGCATTCTCCCAGTTAGAAGATAAAAAAAAATAGTTTACTTATAGAGTCCAAATGATATACCTGTTGAATTATGTAATGTAGTACATGACCTGCTTAGACGCACTTGTTTGCTTTTTCATGACATTGAGATATACAACCTACACATGAACAAAAGTGTTGGCTTTGTACTGTATTATAATTTCGTTTTCAATGCAAAACAAGTACATGCGGTATTTTCTTTTTAAAGGTGTGTATGCTGTGAGGGGGGAAAGATCATACAATACAAATAGGCTTTTCATTCCAGATAAAATCTCGAGTTCCCTGCATGAAGGCAGTGCAGGCAAATCTGACACCTGTGGAGTCATCCAACTTCCATCTATCTGGAGGAAGGAGCCCACATAAATCTATTTAAGGACAGTAATAAAAATCAGATGCTGTGCTCTACTGTGTCCTGGGGCCCCTTGAAACTGCCTGCCTGTCTGAATCAGCCCTGGATAAAAAAACTTGTCCAAATCTTGCGTTCTCTTCCTCGTGTGCATCTGGTCTCCAGAAATAATTTTTATAAACAATTTCCAGTATAAACACTCATCTTTCTGTCTTTCAGCACTAAAAGCCTTCAGAGGAGTCTCTTAGGAAATGTATAGGTGTCTCCAGTATCTTTCAGTCTAGTATTCAATTCTCCCTTTCGGCAGTACCTAAAGATGTGCCTTCCCCTCCCCTCCCTGTTCCCTCTACTTTCTTCTAGATAACAGAAGGTGACTTCTGTGCGATAGGACTTGGGACTCTGAATACTGAAGATCTGGATGTCCCTCAGGATGTGCTGACGTTCTCCATTGCTAGCCCTCCTGTTCATGGATTGATATTAAATGGAATCTATGGCAGAGACATCAGTCGGGACAAGCCGCTGAACTCAGCAGTGCTTCATCAAGACTTACAAATTCACAGCGTTTCCTTGGCCGAGCTCAAGCCAGGTCTGAGTAATGGAACTTTGGCTTCCCTTCGCTGGGCTTTCCTGTCTGTACACTTCCCCTGCATCAGGGCTGCATGGATTATATATGATTGCACGCGAACAAAATGTTCTTCTGGTCTCGTGGTGTTAACAGGCTGTGATGAGGCTTGGCTTAATTACAGTCACTCTTGTGGCCTGTTCTGGAGGAACGTGGCCCTCCATTCATAGGATGTTTTGTCTTTACCGAATGCAACTTTTAAAAGGCTGGGGTCAGATCCTGGGTTCTGAATGCTTAATAATTTTCATTTATCAGCTTTGCAGTACAAGTGCTTGCCTCTGATTACCACTAGATTTCCATTGCATGAGCTGTGGATGTCCTCTGCTGGAAGCCACAATTCATTGCAGCTGGCTCAGTATTTGTTTAAGCTTTTCAGCCTTGAGAGAGGAGATTGAATTGCAGACTCCTGAATAGTTTCTGTGCAAATTGAGCTGGTGACTTCCTACTGCAACAGAAAGAACTGAGGCCTTCTAGTCACTCGGACTGTAATGCATATGTACTACATTGACTCTCTGGCTTGTTTGAACATTAACAGCATTTTGTGGTTTTCTGCAAGCATAAGGGAACAATTGTACAATCTTCCCCCATCTTCTTCCCTCCTGCCACCCTTTTTTTTTTTTTTTTTT